CCACAGTGATATTATAATTTGTGTCAACCATGAATACATATGTATTCTCATTTAAATGGCGTCATTAATTCAAATGTTATTGTCGATAGTATGTACATTCATATGCATTACGTACAAAAAGTGTAAGTTACGCTTTTTGGCTGCCATTTCTGTGATCGGCATAGCTGATTCAGTTCAGAACATTTCTTGCATGTTACGGAAAAAAAATATGAGAATTGTTATGCTGTGTTATGGACGATGGATTAGGTTTTACTTCTTGTAAGAACTGTTGGAAGCCACGAAAATTTCAGTGTACTCGGCTTTCCTCCGGAGTACTAGGCGAACAACTGCAGTGCAACAGTGGGTGATGAAAACTGTTAAACTGCCACAATAAACTTTCAAATTTCTTTACATTTCCATTTTATGTTTTTATTTATTTTTCAGTTAGAAGTAATACTAGACCTGCTTCAGGGACTAAGCTTTTCATTGTGCTTTACACAAAGAAATAAGTCGCTTATTATCCTAACAAAATTCTCTTAAACTTAATTAACTTTTTCGTAATTGTAAACTGTCGCTTCTCTCCCCCCGTTTCTCAGTTTTGTTAGTGGAAAGAAGCTGAAAGCTGAAGTGGAATTGCTAATTCTTTGATACTCTGTTTATATATCGTTAAAAGTAATTGAAGGGGTAGAAAGTTTCTTCCCTCCTCCTCCTCTGTGTCTGATTTTATTTTGCCTGCGGCGTGCTGTTTGATATCCTTTGCTATTAACATGAGGAGACGGCTCTCTGCCATGAGAAGTTTGGGGGTTTTTATGACGCATCATTTATACGAGGAGGAGGATGCTAGTTTAGAATCATGATTGAATTTCAATTATATTTACCATATAAAATAGGCAATTCCAGGTCAAATCGAGTCGACAGATGTCTATGAAATATTCATGGACTTGCTTTAGTTTGTCTGCATATTGTTACTTTGCAAGCCCATTACGAAACAGCCAGCCTTATGTTTTCATGGCAACAATTGCGATATTCACAAGGAAAGCAACTACTACAGAGGGAATTTGCGAACGGTCTAAAAATATGGAATTTTAACTTCGGCTTAAGGTAAAAACGTAAAATTGTCCCTGTGTTCAACGAATTAAGCACTACGCCGTGAAGGCTTATTGGTGAGTGGATGTACATCGTATAGATCCACATTTTCTTAACTTCGGCGCTAGCTGGAAGTAAGTGGTCAGTGTCACGCCCCGGCCGACCCCATACCCATTGGATAGGAGGTTGGATGGACCCCAGAGCCGGTCTGGACGATTTGGAGAAGAGAAAATTCTTCAATTTACCAGGGCTTAAACTCCGACCGTTCCGTCGTGCAGCCCATAGCCAGTCGCTATACCGACTGAGCTCTCCCAGCTCCTTAACTTCAGCTTTATGTGAAAAATATTACTTCCGCTAATAAATCAGGTTGATAGATATTTCGATCTAAATACCAGAGAACAATAATTTGAAATAGAATTAAAATTCATGATGAAGTTAAATTTCTGGAGTCAATTTAAGAAGACCAATTTATTTTTAATTATTCCAACTGTATGTAGAGAGGCTAGATGAAATCATAAACATACCTTAACAACTATAATGTTCAGAATATCGACATCCATCTTAGTGGTTAACACTAAGTTCACGAGTTCGAATCACGCTCGAAGCAAGGATATATTGTATTTGATTTTTTGTCTTATGTCTTCCTGCGTAAGTAGAAGTCTTGCAATTGAGCGATAACCCCCAAAGCAGTTGTACTAAATGTGTCCAGTAGGATTTTAGGTTATCACTGCGGTGGCAATGCACAATTCTCTCTTTTGGGATATAAAGCCATGCCGTTCTTTGAAAGTCAACCAAAGACCTGTTTCATGCTGCTCTTTGCTTGCTTATTCTTTGACCTAGTTGGATCCGACATGTTCACGGAAATTTCTGTTGCCTTTCAACGGAATACACGTCATCATATCCAAGAAGACAAAACTTTTCATTAATACATAATTAGTTCTGAATGGAAAAATATCTAATCTTTGTAAGATTTGAGGCTTTCACGGCGGTGACTATGAAGAAAGCAGTCTTCTGGGATTTGGC